ACGACGTTCCATGAGAAGGCTCAGCCTCGTCTTTTTTAATTTTCATCCTTCAAATTAAAATAGATTCTACAAGAATATCACAGTAGGTTAAATTTTATCATTTCTACTAACCACGACTTGTGTTAAAATGTAGATAACTGGTTTATAATTTCATTGTAAATATTAATAATTGACTCTAATTTTACATAAAATTATATTTTTAAATATGAATTTTTAATTAAAAAATAGATTCAAAAAGTGGTGCAGGGACCAACACAGCATTTTTTAATACGTTAGAACTAAAGTTGGGGCCAGAGCATAGCATTTAATGGTGGCTAACCCTAACTCCTGAGGAAATCATTATATGTCTATATCTACATCTAATTCTACAAATATAAAAATAAAAATTGACTTAATTAGCCATTAGTGATAATATTTAAGTTTTAATTATTATATTCTATAAAAAATATTGATTATTATAAATTGTTTTTAAATGTTTAATGATATTATGTATTTGGATTTAATTAAAACATATTAATATAATATAAAAATTACGTTATTATTCGATCATAGATCGTCAATTACTTTATACACACAAATAGAAAGTGTGCATGAATATCATTAATAAAAAAAATGAAATAAAATGAATTCATCTAATTATTAAATCTGTATGCATTAACTATATCTATATGACTTGTTATATTTTGTAAGATTAAAATTTACAAATATATTTATATTTTCAAAGTTAATATAAAAACATTTAGATTTTCAAAAGCTATGTAAAAAAGTTCAAAATATTTCGAGTATAAAAGTTTTTAAATAGTAAAATAAGTATATTTTGTATTTGTTTATCAAAATAAAATTTGAAGTGTTGTGTAGAATTCAAAATATCTTATAATAAATAGATCTTCATTTCTCTCGCAACTTTTCTTTGTATCCTTCTTAATGAAATTTGCAATTATTTAAGGAAAACTATTAAATATTTCAGAGTTGTTAAAAGAAGTTTTAGATTTGCAAGGCATCAATCATTATGATTTGCATTTTGAAGGGGTAGATTAATTGTAGATATAGGGGACGGTGCTATATTTTGTAGGAATGATTTTTCAACCACTCACTCTATGATTACGATGCATCATGCATCCTACTACACTGTGATTCCAATGGGCCTCTGTTAAACAATGGATTCATGCACAAAAATCTCACATCAATTGTCATATTTTTTTATCCCACTATCTTTACAATGAGATTCGTAGAATCGAATAGGAATAAAATCTCTATTTGTTTTATTTCTACCTCAGGAATAAGGCCCATACATACATCAACTGTTCCTCATGGGTTGTAGATTCTGTTTTGCACGAATGATGCATCTGTCGTTTTAGACTTTTTTCTTATTCTTCTGTCTCCACCAAATTGCTAAGGAACAAATGCTATAGGTGTATCTATTTACGCTCTATTTATGCTCCGTACATAAATTAACAATTTGATTTAGGATATGGAATTATTTTATTCTAAATAAGATAAGGTTTTTTGAGTAAAAACCTTATCTTAAGAAAAATACATTTAAGATTAGCTTTCCTATGTTTTTTTATAATAAAGATCTACTTTTGTTTGGAACTTGTTACACTTTTGCTAAGTATTTTACGATGACTGTGAAAGAATTGCCACACGCCTGACAGAAGCTACTACTTAATTAAACTATAGTTGGAACACAACGTGTCAAGACCGTGACGAATTGTCATGAGCAGGACCCGATTCCTGCAAACTTTTTTCTTTCATTTTGTTATTTTGTTTAATTAGGCCTCACATGTTTTTAACCCATTTATTTAAATAGACATTGGTGAATCTTTGGATGGACTTTTATGCTTTCAAAGTCGCAATAAATAACTGAAGATTGACTCTTGCTCCATTGATTCTTATGTTTATCTCTCTTTTCCTACTTTTTTTCTTTTGAGATCTTGTTACACGTTTCACAAATATATTGATTATCGTAAATTAGATAGACGTACAATTTTTGAATTTATAAAGACTTGTGGAATAATTATTTAATTTAAGAAACATATAACAAATTAATTACAATGGTTTGAAAGATTATACCAATGGAATGGTATGGATGGTCAAAAGACTCTATTTTGGGAAGACCCATGGTTGGACCAAGAACCACTAGCAACAATCTATCCCAAAATCTATTTGAATTCTACTAAAAAACAACAGAAACTCCATCCATCGTCTCTGCCTCATGTTCAGCTCCTGCTGATCAACCAAGTACTCCAAACTCTTGCGATCACTAAGGACGCTGAACTGAGCACCATACAGATAATGTCGCCATATCTCCAAGGCAAAAACAACAGTTGCCAACTCCAAGTTATGAGTGAGATAATTCCTCTCATGATTCTTCAATTGCCTTGAAGTATATGCCACTACTTTCCTGTTCCGCATCAGCACACACCCCAAACCCTGGTGAGAAGCCTCGCAGTACACATCACCGGGCTCACCAGAATCTGGCAACACCAGCACAGGAGAAGTAGTCAACCTCCTCTTCAGCTCATCAAAACTCCGCTCACAAGCACCGGCTCAAATGAACGGCTGCTCTTTCCTCGTCAAATGGGTTAGAGGCGCTACTATCTTGGAGAATCCTTCAATGAACCTTCGATAGTAACCCGCTAAACCCACAAATCTCCGAATATCAGTAATAGTTCTTGGACGCTCCCACTACAACACCGACTCCACCTTAGCCGGATCAACAGCAATCCCCTCAGCTGAGATCACATGTCCCAAGAACTTCACCTCATCCAACCAAAACTCACATTTTGAAAGCTTAGCGTATATTTGACTTTTTACGTCAGACCCTACTAGGTCCGACGTAAAAAAGTTCGCAAAAATTACAAAAATACCACCACGATTTTTTTACGTCGAATTTTCGTATTTCCGACGTAAAAAAGGTGACGTAATATACTTATTTTCTACTAAATCGAATAATAAATTTATATAAATCAAATCTAAACTCAAACTATTTACACTTTTATACATAATCAAATAGTAATTGTAAGAATTAATTGGGGTGAAATTATTTTACTTTAAAAGGTGATCGAATTTGAATATTAAGTATGCAACAAATCAAATGCTTAGAAGACAATAGTTTTTCGTCTATAATAGTGTTACTTGAACAAAATTGTGTAATGTGGTATAATCTTTTAAAAAAGAGTTACTGTGCATACATATTAATCTCATATTTTTCAATAATTTTTTTAGAGGATTTTTATAATAATTTAAATGACAATTAATTGATTATTTTAAAACGAGCAACTACAATAAAGTTAAACCAAGCATATATAAACATTATTATTCAATCATATATAATTCATTGTTATACACCTTTAACTGAACTTTTATTACATTTCAGCTAGATTTTGCTCCCAGATTTCAACATTTTCCCTTTCTATTTTTGTATGTCTATCTAATCAAGAACAGCTTTCAAAGTCAAAACATTTAAGTGAATTGGCCGTTGATCGACTTTATTGAGATATGCGTCTAAATTAAGTTGACACACACATATATATATATATATATATGAAAAAGTAAATAATTTATTCTTATATCATACACTTAGACTCCATTTTTGAACAAGAGGTTTTTAAAATATAAAATAATATTACTTAAATTTAATATCAATTATATTTAATTTTAAGTATTTATGAAATATATTAAATTGAAGATATTTTTCTTTAAAGAAACTGAATTTTAAAAATTTATAATCTATACATTTTTTTATTTATTTTTAAAATATTTTAATTTTGACATATTATTAAAAGTCTTCGTGATTCAACTTGTTTCATTGATTGACTCGACCTAAAAAAAACTTTTAACATGTTTAAATTTAACAAATTAGACCCAATATATTTCAGAGATAAGTATGAGTTATTTTTTAGATCTTTTCAATTTGGTCCAACATCATATATTTAATAATTACAACTTTAACTAATGCATCACACATATTAAATTTTTATTATATAACTAAAATTTAAAATACATAATATATAAATAAATACTATGTTTAAATATATAAAAACTATATCTAAAATTTGAATAAATTGATATTTTAAATATATAAACTATATTTTATATTTATGATAAATAATGTATATTGTAGCATAATATTATTTTATTTATTGATAATTTATTTTAAAAATATTAAAATTTAATTAATAAATAATTATGATAAATAAAAATTAAATTAAACATAGCTAAAAGAATCTATCAAAATCTCCTCATCAAATAAAAGCTCCTAAATATGCTTTCTTGCAAAATATTTTTTTGTATTTTATATATAAAAATTGGTTTTAAAATAATAATATTTTAATAATAAAACTTTTTGTATTAATTAATCATATTTTACCTAATATAATATTATACTTATACTAATATTATTTATCTTGAAATATATATTGTACAATATATTTTAATTGTACTTGTAAACTTTTTAATTTTATTGGTTAACGTCTAAAAAAAAGCTAAATGTAATATTAAAATTAATATATTACACTACGGATTGACTCAAGTTCACAAAATTGACCTTAAAAATTTTTCGAGACATGTAAGAACACAAACACCCCTACACATAATATCCATATTCAAATAATTTATTTTATAAACGTTTTCAAGTTAAAAACTTTATCTCTTTAATTTATTTTAATTTAATTTAATAAAATGTTTATTATTATTATTATATAAAAATATGCACTATACTCTTTAATATTATATAATTTAAAAAATGAGTTTGTAAAATTTAATGTATAAAAAAAGTCGCTAATTGATTTTCTGAAACAAACAGAAAGTTTTTTTAACTTCTCACAGTTTGTTTGTGAGTTGGCGAACCCATATGGAGTCCATTTGGGTTGAACAACTTCTTAATTAGTAAATTGACGTGGAGATTTATTAAAACATGATGACAACTATGGTGATTAAATTAAACAAATGGGAATTGTTAAGTGTTAACATTGACATGAGGGTAGCTGGCTAGGAAAAGTGTTATCACGATCATACCAATCATACAGCTACAATTTTTTTTGCTGAAAAAGTCCATCCTAAAGCATTAACTAATATGAAATATTTCAAACAAGTGCATCACATTACTGAATTTTGAAAGACAAGCAAAGAGAGCTGAGACAGTGATATATCATTCACATCCAAATCCCACACGAACATTCCCAGATTCTAATTGCCAACACAATCACACCCTCTTGAATTTTTATTTGTTCCCATCTGATTCTGCCCCTGGAAAAGTGCATGCCAAGATTTCCAAGGCCATGGAAGATGAAAGAGGGAGTCTCCTACACAAGGAGGAGGAGCCAGCACTTGATGGAGCAATAGAACTGAGGAACTTCAGATCATACCTTAGATGGGTTTACGTGGATCACTCCAACGTGATCAAAGCTTGTCTCTCTTGGTCCGTGTTCTTCACCTTGGCCTTTGTTGTGCCTATACTCTCACACTTCCTACTAAGTTGTCCTACATGTGACCAAGATCATAGTCGACCATACCACATACCCGTGCAGATTTCTCTCTCTGCCTTAGCTACCCTCTCTTTCATCAGTATTTCTTCGTGGGATCGTAAATATGGCTTGAGCAAGTTTCTCTTCCTTGATAAATTAAGCGATGAAAGCCCTAAGATTCAACGAGGATACTCTGAACAGATGCAGGTTTGTTTTCTCAATCCTTTTCACTTTTTATTTCTTGTTTTATTCGGTATGAGTTTCTATAAGCATAAACATTTGTAAAGCATCATGGATGTGGGTTCGGTCTAGTAGAAGGGACTAGTGTTTCACAAGGTGTCAAACCAATGTTCAAATCTTTTTTGAGAGAGGTATCCACATTCAGTACTGATCATGTTTTGAATAAGATTGTCTCCGAAGAAGGGTAAATATAAAAAATAAAAAAATAAAAAACTAAAGTATCTGCCATCAATTTTTTTGTTTGATTCACCCAAATTACAAGGTTTGTGTCCAAAGTGAAAAAAATAAAACATTAGTAGTATGAAACATGTTTCTAATTACTAGTGTAATCTTAATTAACCTATGAGTAGGAAAAAGTAACAGTACTTTTTTCTATTTTTGGCACAACACAATACTCTTTTCTATACACTAATAACCATATCCTGAGAAATTGGCTCGCAAAAAATATCAACTTTAGAATTGTACATCTGCAATTAAAGAAGGGAACAAGATCATTGTCTTCTGACAGCTACTTTTCTGATGTGTTTTGTGATGATTGTTTGGTCAATATTCCATAATCTGTTCGTTAAAGAACATTGACTCTGGTCAACGAACATTGGGTGAGAAAATCACATGTTGAAGAATAAACTTGACTCGCATTATTCAACATTATTCAACTTTGTACCTGTTATTATGCAGGGAACCATGAAGCTCATCTTGCGTTGGGGGCTTCCCTGTTTCATAGTAGAATGTGCCTACAAGATATGGTGGTACGTCTCAGGGTCATCTCAGATACCATATTATGGTGATATATTCATGAGTAGCATCATTCTGTGCGCATTGGAGCTATGTTCTTGGCTTTATAGAACCTCTATTTTCTTCCTGGTGTGTGTTCTCTTTCGACTTATCTGCTACCTGCAGATACTGAGACTAGACGATTTTGCTCGAGTTTTTCAGCAAGAAACTGAGGTGGAGTCAATCTTGTTGGAGCATCTAAGAATGAGAAGGAATCTTCGGATCATAAGTCATCGTTTTCGAGGTTTCATTCTATCTTCTCTGCTTTTGGTGACAGCAAGCCAACTCATTTTTCTGCTTATGGTTACAAAACCCCATGCTGATGTTGATATCATCAAAGCTGGAGAGCTTGCGGTAAAGCTTCTTACCTTTATGACACCTTTGGCAAACAGATTAATTGTGTACTTGATTAACAACATTAAGTCCATAAGCACATAATTAATAAGCTTCCTTACACAACTTATTAAAATAAATTGTAGATAGTTGGGTTTCTTAAGCATGCTGACAAAAATTCAATTCTCGGTCCATCTATATGATAAAGACTGTTGAAGAAACAAAACTCACTTCGATGATTTCTACATTTTGAAAGGAATTAGTCTCGACTATCGGTTAAGAGAAATATCCTTGGTTTCACAAAAAATCCTTAAGTAATGTCTCTATGTTGAAAAAGATAAAACTCACTTCAATGATCTCTATGCTATGAAAGAAATTAGTCTTCAACTATTACGTAGGAATCCTTGGTTCAAACAAAAAAACCTTAAGTAGTGTTAAGGATGATCTTTGACTGGCGTCAGTATACATTTTTTTTTTAATTTCTTCTTAATGCTCCTTTTGTTCGAAGTGTTTAACATGTTTCAAGTATAAAATACTGCAAATAGAATGTAATAGGTTGAGTCCAATTTTGCAGTTAGTCTCCATCACCCTGGTGAGTGGACTATTCTTACTCTTGCGAGGTGCAACTAAGATCACACATAAAGCACAGTCCATTACAGGCCTTGCTTCTAAGTGGCACATTTGTGCCACCATAAACTCGTTTGACAACATTGAAGGAGAGACACCATCAACTGCACATGCAATTTCGGCCCAAGCTATTGCTGCCAATATCAGTTGGGGATCATCGGATGATGAAGTAGGAGATGAAGAGGATGAGTTGGATAACACCAAATTGCTGCCAATTTACACCCAAACTATCTCATTCCATAAGAGGCAGGCTCTGGGTAAATGGGAATTTCTTAGTCATGCTTTTCTTGTCATATTATTATGAGTATGATATATATACAACAAAATTATACAACACTTTGTACAATATCACTTTATGTATCTGTCATGGAAAGAGATATTTATTAATGACAGAGAGACACAAATACAAAAGGTGATTTTGTACAACTAGTTATACATATATCATTACTCTATTATTATTAGTCCAATTGTGTTTTGTCCTGAGTTATCTAGCTTTTTATGCAGTGACATACTTGGAGAACAATAGAGCAGGAATCACAGTGTTTGGGTTCATGCTTGACAGAACTTGGCTCCACTCCATCTTTGGCATTCAATTGGCTCTTTGCCTTTGGCTACTTAACAAGACAGTTGGTGTTTAGGTTTTAGAAACAGAAAGGATCTGCTGTGATCCTCCTTATCTTGTTTACTATATATTTTGAACATTCACCGGTTCATTTGGGTCTGAGAGTTCTTGTTATGATCTACCAATACCACTATGGGATCTTTTTGCCTATTTAGTAGACAAAGGGCTTGAAACGTGCGTGGGTTCCCAAGGCCACCACAATTCCAACTAATAGGCCAAAAAAAAAAAATTTGAATGGTGATTAGTTCACAGCTCATGAACTGAAAAAACAAAATAAAGAAAAATAACTTCTCAATTGATGTGTGATTTATGGATGTGGACCCTTTCCAACAATTCCTCTCAGTTTTCCTCATCTGTATTTTTCTCTAATTATGCTTTCTCTTTCCATCATTTACTCGTGTTTTCTTCATTTTTTTCTTCTATTTTAATACTCTTGTTTTTTATGCTGCTGAAGCAGCACGGTTGGATATATATAATCCAATTTCGTGATATATCCGATAAAAAATAAACTGGAAAAAAAATTGTTTCTGTAGTGCAATTGTTGTAATTAGTGGAAAATCTTTCTAATTAAAGAAAATATCTGTAGAATCTTCTAGTTTATTTTTTAGAATATTTTTTCTTTATTTCCTTATTTTGGAAGATTAGATTGTTACAAATAGGTGTTAGGAAAATATAATACATATAATTGATAATAATAAAAATTATTCTCCTTTTCAAGTTGGTATCAGAGCTTCCGATCTTGGGAGCTCCGTTTCTGCTGCAACAGTAGCCACCACCGCCGTTGTCCGGCCACTGCGGCTGCCACTGTAGCCGTTGGGGTTGTTGATAGGGCATAAAGGTGCGCCCAACTTCGGCGAACACAATGCCGGAATTCGTTTCGAGAAATACGCCGCCACGCGCTGCCACCGTCGCCGGTACGTGTAGCTCACGCGCCCAACTCCGGCGAGACCCACTCGTCGCTGTTGTCCAGAAAGAGTCGTCGGAACCTCCTGAGTCCATTCCGCGGGTCGGTGACGTCCCATTTGGCCCAGATTTGAATAGATCTGAGTTTTGAGTTTTGCTCCTTTTCCGGTGAAGTTCCACGTGCCTAGCTCCGACGAGACCCACTCGCTGCTGCTGTCACAAAACTGGTCGCCGGAGCCTCCTAAGCCCGTTCCACGACCCACTCATCGTTGTCGCCACAGACAGAGTCGCCGAATCAATCCATTAAGTTACCACCATCAGATTTTTGAGATGAAAGCTTTTAAAGAGGAACTAGATCGTTTGAAAGCAATGATTGAATCAATAAGTAAGCCCTCTGGACCATGTACTCTGTCCATGAAAGGTAAGAGTTCTCTCCATACTGTGGGTCCTGTGTCTCAAGGTATTTGGATTCTTGATTCAGGAGCAACTGATCATATGACACCTTTTCGTATGATCTTCAAATCATATATTCAAAGGAATCGAGAACAACTTATTACAGTTGTGAATGGTCAAGGTGTACCCATATGCGGCTCTGGGAATATAATTTCGGAATCATCTATTGTATTAAATGATGTTTTACATGTTCCACAATTAGCCAATAATCTTATCTCTGTGCAAAAGCTCACAAAAGATTTAAATTGTTCAGTAACATTTTTCTCAACTAATTGTATTTTTCAGAACCTTGCTACAGGGAAGACGATTTTAACTGCTAAAGAGCAGAGTGAGTTGTATTTATTGGAATTTGATGACCAAAGAAAAACAAAAATCATGAGTCAACAAGCTACATCTGAAACGTGGGAAAATTCCCAAATATGGCTACATCCTAAAAGCCTTGGGCTCCGGCATCCTTCATTCAACCTTCTTACCTCCTTATTTCCTCATTTGTTTACTAAGGAGTCTATTGAGTTTTTTAATTGTGATATTTGTCAATTGTCAAAACATCATCGTGCATCCTATCCTATTATTAATAAAAAGAGTACTTCTCCATTTGATTTAATTCACTCTGATGTTTGGGGACCTGTCAGAATCTATTTTCGGAGCTAGATGGTTTGTTACCTTTATTGACGATTGTACCGTGTCACATGGACATACCTTATGAAAAATAAATCAGAAGTTTTCCAAATCTTTGTTAATTTTTTCCGTCTGCTCCAAAATTAATTTGGAAAAAATATATAAAGAATCAGGTCTGATAATGGTACTGAATATGTGAATCATGAATTTCTTAATTTTTTGTCTCATAATGGTATTGTTCATGAACTAACATGTGTAAACACCCCTCAACAAAATGGGGTTGCAAAAAGAAAGAATCGTCATCTTCTAGAAGTAACTAGAGCTCTTCTTTTTCAAATGTCTGTTCCAAAAAATTAATGGGGAGAAGCTGTGTTGACTGCCACATATCTCATCAACAGGTTACCCACCCGTATCTTAAGTGGTATTAGTCCTATAGTGTCTCTATTGTCTTTTGTTCCCTCTTGCCCTCTAATATCGAGTCTACCTAGTCGAGTCTTTGGATGTACTATTTTTGTTCACTCTCATCATCCTAATCGTAGTAAATTAGATCCCAAAGCTCTTAAATGTGTCTTTATTGGGTATCCTTCTAATAAAAAAGGGTACAAATGTTATCATTCTCAGAGTCGTCGCGTCTTTATCACCATGGATGTCACCTTTCATGAAACACAATCCTTTTATGTCAATCCACCACTTTAGGGGGAGATAAAACACTTGAAGTGGAGGAGCTCTCCTTCTTGTCATTACCATATCTGTCTTTGCAGGATGCCCAAGATCTGAGCAATGAAGCTACCATGGTCAACAGCGAGGAAGAAGTAGAAGAAGAGGAAGAAGACAAATTTTTTGGCAAAAAATATGAAAGAAGAAAACAACTCACTTCGACTCTCGAGCAAGAAAAATTGTCTAATCCAGAGGTGAGGATCCATGAAGATAATAGTGAGGAGGTAAGTATTACTGAGGATTTACCCATTGCATTAAGAAAGGAAAGAAGGTCATGCGCTAAATATCCTATTTCTCGATATGTTTGCACTAACAATCTCTCTGATAAGCACAAAAGTTTTATTGCTGCCATTGATGCCACAGAAATTCCTACCTCAATCCAGGAGGCCATGAAACTTGAACATTAGACTCAAGCCATGAAAGAAGAGATGAATGCATTAGAAAGAAATTCAACTTGGGAGATTGTTGATAAGCCAAGAGACAAGAAGGCAGTAGGATGTAGATGGATATTCACAGAGAAACATAAAGCAGATGGGATAATAGAAAGATATAAAGCTAGATTGGTGGCAAAAAGCTATACCCAAACTTATGGGATTGACTATGAGGAGACCTTTGCCCCAGTGGCTAAGATGAATACAGTTCGAGTTGTTCTCGCTTTGGCTACTCATTTTGGTTGGGACTTACACCAGTTGGATGTGAAGAATGCCTTTCTTCATGGAAATCTGGAAGAGGAAGTGTACATAGAGATTCCCCCAGGTTTTGAAGTGCAAAATAAAAGAAACAAGATATGTCTCCTAAAGAAAGCATTGTATGGTCTTAAACAATCCCCTAGAGCATGGTTTGGAAGATTTACAAAAGTAATGGTTTCCTTGGGATACAGACAAAGACAAGGAGATCATACTCTATTCATAAAGAACTCTTCTACAGGTAAACTCACTCTATTGCTTGTCTATGTGGATGATATGATTATTGCAGGAGATGATGAAACAGAAAAATTTGGCATTAAAAGAAAAATTGGCAGCCCAATTTGAAATGAAAGACCTAGGAAAACTCAAGTATTTTCTTGGAATAGAGGTTGCTTATTCCAAGAACGGAATTTTCATTTCCCAAAGGAAATATGTACTTGATCTCCTCAAGGAAACAGGAAAGCTGGGATGTAGAACCTCAATGGTTCCTATAGAGCAAAATCACAGAATTGGAAGTGAAGAAAATGCTCCTGTAGATAAGGCCCAATATCAGAGATTAGTTGGAAAATTGATTTATCTATCACACACAAGACCAAACATTGCTTATGCAGTTAGTGTGGTGAGCCAATTTATGCATGATCCAAGAGAGAGACACATGCAAGCAGTTGACAAAATTCTCCAGTACTTAAAGTCAAGTCTAGGAAATGGACTATTGTTCAAAAGGAAAGATACATTGACTATGAAAATATATACTGATGCTGACTATGCAGGTTCTATTACTGACAGAAAATCTACTTCTGGGTATTGTGTGTTTCTTGGAGATAGTCTGGTAATGTGGAGGAGCAAAAAGCAAGATAGGGTATCTCGTTCTAGTGAAGAAGCTGAATTCCGAGTCCTTGCTCAAGGAATGTGTGAAGGACTCTGGATGAAAATCATTTTGGATGACCTTAAAGTCAAGGTAGACAACCTCGTGCAACTATACTGTGATAATAAGTTTGTCATGAGCATTGCCCATAATCCAGTACAACATGATAGGATCAAACACATTGAGATTGACAAACATTTCATCAAAGATAATCTAGACAGAGGTTTTGTGATAACAACTCATGTTCCTACAGAACTTCAGATAGCAGATATTTTTACAAAAGGGCTCCTTCAGGGTAGATTTCAAGATCTTGTAGGCAAGTTGAGAATGATTGATATTCATTTACCAACTTGAGGGAGAGTGTTATAATTAGAGGAAAATCTTCCTAATTAGAGAAAATATCTGTAGAATCTTCTAGTTTATTTTTCAGAATATTTTTTCCTTATTTCTTTATTTTAGAAGATTAGATTGTTACAAAAATAAGTGTTAGGAAAATGTAATACATATAATTGATAATAATAAAAATTATTCTCCTTTTCAAGTGCAATATACTAGGATAGTGTATTTTAAGACTTGAGAGTAAATAGCATGATGAAATAAAGGGGTTGAACATTGAACACTTTTCATTACATACATATTTACAAAAAATTGTTTCCACGTGGAAAGAATCTCTGATACGCGCAAATGATATTATGCATGACAAGGAGAACATTGCTAGGGAGAGCAAAACAAAAATTAAGACAAGCCAACTACGTATTTCATATTTCCTCCTTTTAAAATGCTAAGAAAGCGACTCGTTTTTTGGTTTTCAACATATTCAAAGAAGCTTTGTAACTATCGATATATTTCTCAGGGCGTGGCCCCTGATTTTTTGGTCAAACTTTTTCATTCTGCGCATTGCTAAGTTACTAATTTTAATAATCATTCCTCGACAACTACTAGTTCAACTGTGTCAATTATAAAGGGTTTTCTTCTTGCAGAACCATATATTTAGTTACTGTTATGCCAGCATATCCTCTCAGGCACACGGAGAGAGGTCACAGATCCTTGGGCACCGGATTTTGTACCATAAGAAACTCGTCAACTAAATAATGGCTGTAAGTTTTACTTACTATATATTAGAGATTTGGTTTTAAACATAATCAGGAACTAAGTTGGTTTTAATCTAGTAACCATTCTTTTTGATGGTGGCAATCAATCATCTCATAAGTACAACTGGGGTTTTCTAAGAAAAGCTCAAACTTTTTTTCCCATAGAAACCATCTCCTCTTTGCCATCTTTCCTTCTCCCTAGTCCTTAGTCTATAAAACTACGGTTTTACAAGCTATAAGATCACTGAAATTAGAGTCGCCCTTCATAATTAGTCCCATATATTGATAATATCATGAAAATATTCTGTCAGTTACTGCCAGACTATATGTTAATTTTATTTTCCTACTTGATGACAAACTGAAGCATCAAGTCATCAAATCACGTAGACTCAAACCCGTCAGCTTAATTTTAATGATTTTCATTATAGACAGAATGATCATATTGGACATATGTAGAACTTACTACCAATTCGGGATGGCAAATCATTCAATATCCCGAAATTTTAGGACTATATATGGTTCATTTGGTTTAAAATTGTGGAATCGATTATGAAAAAAAATAAATAATAAAACATTCGATGTTATAAAATTAATTTGTCTTTAGAAATAACATTTTAGAAGTAAATTTATAGCAAAAAATAATATTTATATCATAAAGCAAGTTTCTTGGCAAATGGCAAACCAAACATGCCAATAAGCTTACTACAAGTTCAACACATTTATTAGATATCGAAGTTTTTTCTAAAGCATGATGAAAATAAAAAACATTTTACGAAGATCATTACACCTAGAAAAGAATTAGTTTTGACTATGGAAGGATGTCTTCATTCCATTTGTTTTGAAACCAAATTATACATATTTTATAAATGTTTTGGCCATGGCTGGTGACAGCAGCTCTCTCACGTTCCAAAGTTTGGCAATTGGGACAATGACAACGTTCCATACACGGCATATTTTGAGCATGCACGCAAAGAAAAAAGTGGGACGATGGTGAACCCTAATGACCCAATGAAAAATCCAGAGGCCTTCAACACGTGGACGAGAGTTGGGGAAAATGTTGATGCTGATGAAGTGATGGGTTCTCATTCTCATCATAGCTACTCCCACAGCGTAAGTTCTTTGGAAAGTGGAAACCACACTCATCGTCATCATGTGCATCACAGAAGCAGGGGCAGTCAAGGTAGCTTCACAGCAGAGTTTGCGAGTGAACAGAGTCATTTTGATCACAAGAGGAGCATCACCAAAGGAGGCACTAGCATTAAGCGCTTCTCTTCCCCAAGTCATAATGGACACAAGAGTAAAAGCTCTTCCTTTAATGACCAAGCGGTAATTCATTTTCCTCAAATCATTTTCTATCACTAATATTTATTTTTTACTATTTAATTTTTTTATATTCTCTTAAGATTTAATTATCGTTTGGTCTTTATAACGATTGACACATAGATGCCACCCCCTTTCTTATCATTTTTTGGTCTTCCATGGTGATCAAAATTATGGGGGGCATGCAGCACCATCATGCAGCAGCAATACCCAAATTTGGGACTTGGGATGTGACAAACCCACAATCAGGAGAGGGTTATACTGCTATATTCACCAAAATAAAAGAAGAAAAGCAAACTACGTCCAGGCAATACCCCAGCATAAGCCATACCCCACCACTTAACAACTGTTCAAATATTAAGAATCAAAATGCTGTACCTTCCTCTTCCTTATCCAAGGTATTTAACATATACTTTTAAAATAAGATTAATTTATTTTTTATTCATTGATATTGTTCAAAAATATATATATATATGTGGTGTCACAGCTATAGTGATTTAATTTATTTCATCCATCTATGCAAGGTGTTGGTTTCCTATTCCTCTGCTAATTCATGAATATTTTCATGCAGTACTGTTGCTGTTTGTTTCCTGGTGAAAGCAAATGAAAGCAGAATCTAATAATGTTTGCACCACTTAAATGTTTCTATTTATTCGGAATATTTATCGTATATTCTTCACAAACTGTTCTAGCTAGTTTCATTTACTTGAGCTTTTATTGTCATTAATTCTAATGCACATTATTTGTCGATGTCGCAACTAAAGACAGCTTGGACAAACTTCTATGAGGTACCAGCACAATATTATATAACTTTACTTTTTATAAGCTATATCATTATATCTCTATTATTTTAAGTAACTTAATTAATTTTTTATTCTAATTTTTGTATACATAACTTTGTATTCTAATTAAATTGTTCTAAAAAAAATTCTTAATCAAATAAATTTAAACTGATTAAATAAGTTTAAAATGTATAAAATGAGAAACTTTAAATTTAAATTAGGATTAAATCTACATTATTCACCCACACTCGTCAATATTTTTTGTTTATTTTGAATAACATGTTTTGAGATATCAAAGTTACATATTTGTGAATTATAGAAATCAAAAGTGAATTGAAACTTTTAAATTATTAATAATATATTATAAAAATACTAAGATTAATCTAATAATGAAAAATAGTATACACAAAGTTTAATATTCTACTTTGTTGTCTCCATTCTACAACAAAATGTGTAAAAAACCTGATGTGATTAAAATATATGTCAATTATTACTATTCTAACATTTCAAATATTTTCAGTTCCATTTAAGTTTGAATGAAGATGAAAATATGTATTATGATAAATATGAACTCTCTTTTTAAAGTCCTATTATAATATTTTTAGATAAAATCCATTAAGTTTGAATGAAGGTGACAAAATGTACTTTCACAAATAATGAACTTTTTTTTAAGTTTTATTATAAGATTGAGATAAATATTAATAAATGTATCATGTTGGTATATTGTTAATTGAATATGAATAATTAATATTATTCTCATCTTCAATAATCATATTTTGCAATACGATACATTTGAATATTATATGTTTTAGTGTATTATGTGTCAAATTAGTAATTTGTATCTCTAGATTAACTTATTAGTGTAAATCATCATTAAAATTAAATATTAGATTGGTAAAGGACAATAATATTGTTTATTGACCGTACGACATTAAAGCATGCATGTCAACTTATAATTAAGTCTTGTGATTATTTCAAGAATGATCATGAGTTTTTCATGATCACCTTGAAAAATTTGACTTTTTGTGTTATTTTATTTTTCATTCACATTACAGTCAATTTGAATTAATGAAATGAAGTATCCAATGATTTTTAAATTTTTAAAAAATTTGCATATTTGATCTATGCATTAAGAACTTCAAATTCAACGATTGGATCATTGAAATTTGATGTAGAACATGAGTTAATGAACAAAGTAAATATATATAAACTTACTCCTAAAATAAATGAATTCCTCATATCTCTATATATATATATATATATAACTATGCATTTATATATGCAATGGTAAAAAAAACTATTGTATTAGTTTCCATTAATACCCAATAATAATATCAATAATGTACATTTAAAATTTTTTAGATTCAAACTTGATTAAAATCGATTCATGAGCAATTGTAAGAAAAATATACTTTTACTATTCCAAAATTATTGAGTAGGTAGACTTTTAGTTTAGGTCAAGTTCAAGATATTTTAAGTGATTCTTAATGAGTTAGGCTAATGTTTGGATCACTTAATTCTATTTTCACTTTTTTTCATTATTGCGATGTTGTATGATAATATTGGTGAGAAAGCAAATGGCCAAGAGATTAAAGATTCTAAAACTGACTAAAGTAAGAAAAAAAATTAATAACTAAAAAACTAAAATTAAAATTTTTAGGGACAAAACTCGAATTTTTTTTTTTTTTTTATCAAAACCAATATCAGAAGCTAATAACTTTATAAGTTCTAAAATTTAAATTTTAAAATTTTGCAATGACATAAAAAACACGATGTCATGTGAAACTACATGAAATTTAATGTATGACATGTATCGCACTAATTTGTATTTCTATTAGACACGTCAACACTTAGTCCTTCTAATTCAATGTTAGGACTAATTTTTTTAAAAAATAAAAATAAATGATTTGTTTTTTTTTTTTTTAAATGATTTGTTTTTTTTTCCTCCTTGTTAAAAGTGGGCAATTTTTAAACTGAACTTTATATTAGTTGAAGTATGAAAATCTTTTAAAACTCTATTATTTTCCACCATGGTTAGATAAAATATTTTGAGAAAGATTTTTTTTTTAAAATAACAAGTTTTGAAAATATTTAATATGTTTGAGATAAACGAGCGAAATGATGAACAAGCTTTTTATATATGATCAAATTATTTTATCATATTCTTGATAATTGTTTCGAACACAAAACTAATCAATAATGATTTTGTTTCAAATTACATAAATTTATTCCTGACAATGTTTTTTTAATTATTTATTCTCAATTATACCCTTTTAATGTATACTTAAGAACTATGTTTGGTTGTCAATTAAGATTAGTGAAAATCTAATTTTAAAATTATTATAATAACTCAAATATTTATTTGGTTTATTTTATTATCTCAAAGTGTCTCTATTATCTAATTAAATATTATTTAATCTCAAATTCTAATGAGCCTTGCCATGTAGAAAAAAAAAATATTGTAAAGACAATAATGGAAATCAAGATGATGTTGCACATGAAAAAAAAAATATGAGAATGAATACAATATATAAAAATAACTCAATGAACTTAATGGGCCTTGTTGTTTGTCATTCATGATGATGTTATTCACTACTCATGATAGTATTCGTTGTTAAACTTAAACATAACCATTTTCAACATGAGAATTTTCAAGTTGGTCTATGTAACTCGGGTATGGATTTTAAAGGACTTGTTGCCCAAAATATGTACGTACAAGTTGAAATTTCCACAAAACCAATATAGGAATATATCATTCTCTTTGGAATGAAATCTACATATAAATGTTGTAACGTATGAAGTTTATGTCTCATGAAATTATTAATCTTATTATTTTTACGATTCAATTGATGATTATTATCATTATTCACTATTTATGTTATCATTAACTATCATTATCATTAACGTCAAATAACATAATAAAAAATTAAATAAATCATTTATATGTACAAAATGTTAACATCTTTAATCTTATTTGAAAAAAAAAGTTAGATTGCATCATTTTAAAAATTAAGGAATCAAGGGACCAAATTGAATAAATTAAACAAATTAAAAGAAAAAAAAAACTTAGTCTTACTTTTTTTTTCATCGCATATTCATTCTTAAATTACTACAAAATGAAAGTTATTTCTCTATTTTTTTTTCTTATTTGTTCCTTTCTATTTTCTCCCTAACCTAATAAAAAATACATGAGAAATTCTATGGTACCCATCTTATTTGAGAGGGTACCGGTATAATTTTTTATATTTTATATTTTTAATAATTTATTTAAATAATATTTATAATATTTTATTCTTTTAATTTTTAAATTATTTAGTTATTTTATTTTTATTTTATATATTCCAGTTTATTTGTAATAATATTATTTTATATTTAAATAGTTTAATTTTAATAATTTTTTAAGTATATTTTTATCTTTTTATTTAAAAATTTTGTCTTTTTGTCTTAAATTTTTGAATTTCTATATTTTAATTTTAATAACTTTTTATTTCTACTATTTATTAATTTTTTTTCTTTTTTTAATATTTTATAATATTATTAAAATCTTATAATTTTAATCTTTATAATTTTATCTTATTTTTTATTTTATAAGTATAATTTGAATTATTCATTTTATAATTAAATTAATTTTTTTAAATTTTTTATGAGTTTACATAAAAAAATGTATTGAAACCCTTCGATCTTAGTGTAGCAACTCCCAAAATACATTTCTATTTGTGCCTTTTTTTTCTCTAATTTTCCCCCTTTCATCTAAACATACCACTAAACAAAACATTATTTTTTAAAATAAAAAAGTAATGGCGCCCTTTCTTTTTGAATTTGAAATTCATATCGGGTTTAATCATAATACTCCCAAATTCCCGATCACTTGTATCTAATCTTATATTTTTGTTATTTAATTTCCCCAAGTTTAGAAAGTGAACAGCAGTGAATAGAATGCATGACTCATTGTCACACAAAAACACAAATCCGTGTGAGCACATGTGGACGGAAACGGCCACGACGCAACGGCGCCCAAATTCAAAAGTTCGAAACGACAAAATGAGAAAGGAAGTATACAATGCGGACCCGTCCACACAACCATCCCGTGGATAAGCAATTTGACGGTCTCAGATCAATCTACACACACTACGCGGGCCCCACTCCAAAGTAAAATCAAATCAGACGATGATGATCGCTGCGTCAAAATCAGACACGCGAGCCAATATTTGAAAACTGATAAGAGCCCTCTCTGGCATTTGAATTGCGACACCGAGTTGAATCGCGAGAAGTGGTTCCGAAGATGAAGACCGAATCGCGTTCGATAGAGGAAACGAAGACGTATGAGGAATGGTTCAATCTGGCCGATTCAGGTTAGTTTAATAGTTTCCCTCACTCTACTACAGTTTGAGATTGAAACGATTCGTTTTGACTCGTTGTTTTGGGATTCCATTGTAGACGGAGATGGACGGATCTCTGGAAACGACGCAACCAAGTTCTTCGCTCTCTCTAACTTGTCCCGATCTCAACTCAAGCAGCTCTGGGCTCTCGCCGATGTTAAACGACAAGGCTTTTTGGGTTTCCCTGAGTTCGTTACTGCAATGCAGGTTTCACGTTTTCACCGCCGTTTCATCGATTCATGTCGTTTTTTCTTTCCGCTGGCTTTTGAATTTAGTTTTCGTTGTAACAAACAGTTGGTTTCGCTCGCGCAAGCAGGGCACGAACTTAATTCAGATATCCTCAAAACGCAAAGTAAGCGTGCTTTCACGGTTCTATCTGAATGTGATACATGGAAATGTTATTTATGTTTATTGAATTCACTTGATTCAATGAACTTGGTGGTTCCATTTTTAATTGTTACAGTTGACAAGGAAAATATTAAACCTCCGGTGATGGAAGGACTCGATGCTTTAGCAGCAGTGAGTTTTGTTCTTCAATTCATCTTATGCTTTATTTATTGAGGAAATAGATCATGTTAATTAATTCTGTTGATTCATTATCTTTATTGTTTTTGCTTAGCAAAAGAATTTGCCGATTAGTGCTCCACCCGAAGTAAATGGTGAGATATGAAACTTATTTTTTTTTTAATTAATAATATTGTTGTATTTTTAAATTAATATTTGATTTGATTGTTTTATTGATAATATGTAGGGACTGCTCAGCCTCAAGTGATTCCAACCAATCGGTGGTTTTCTTCAAAATCCTCAAAGAAAGTGAGTTCTGTTACTTATTTTCAGATCTAGATGTTTGTCTTGGTTTTTGTGAAATATGAATTTTCAAGTTACATGCTTCCATGCTATGAATTCAACCTTATTCAGTTTGTTGTTGGCGCTGGGTATTCGTTGTTTTGGAGATGAATTGATCATTTTTTTTATTGGATCATCTGAATGTTCTGTGATGGAGAGTTTAGACTAAAGAGATCCTTAAAGCTTATCTGATAATTATGCTCGCTTGAATGATTGGTTAAGAGTTTAAGCAAAAAGATTGATGTATGGGGTTGTGCAGTTGTGAATTATACTTCGATGTTCACTTAATTGATTTTGTGGTGCAAAGGTGCTATGTTAATGGTTGTTCCACATTTTTATCAAGAAATGCAGTACTTTTCCTTACTTGTGTGGATTGCTACGAGAGATAGATGTATCATTTAATAAAAAAAAATTGTAGTTCCTATCGTCTCTCAGTTCCATTCATTACTCTGATGAATCAAATCATGTGTGCAAGTAAGCAATGTGATTAATTGATAATTCTACTTGGAAACAAAGAATGTGCTTATGTGATTGTTTCTTCTCAAATTATTGCATGTAGTTTTCTTTTTAATTTTGTTGCTAGATATTTTCTAATCATAATAGCTTGTTTTTTTCTTAGTTGCCTCTCAATTCAGTCACATCAATCATTGATGGCTTGAAGAAATTGTATATCGAGAGGTTAAAGCCCTTGGAAGCCACTTATCGATTTAATGATTTTGTGTCTCCATTATTGGTAAGTAGCGTTTGCACCCAATGTATAAATAAAAGATACCAAAGTGTGTCTCACTGTGTTTGTGAGAGCATGGTACTTGTTGTATGATGGTATTAACTTCAAGAATATCTTATTTTTCCCTTTCAGACCAACACTGACTTTGATGCCAAACCCATGGTCATGCTTCTTGGGCAATATTCAACAGGAAAAACTACATTTATAAAACATTTGTTAAGATGCGACTATCCAGGTAGGTTAAGTTCTGGATAATCTGCTGGCTACATTGTTGCAAGTTTTTCATTCTTAAAATTGATGACTGATTGATTATTGATCCTAACTCTTTGTACAGGAGCACACGTTGGACCAGAGCCTACGACTGATAGATTTGTTGTTGTCATGGTACAAGAAGTTTCCTTTTTGTTCTCGTATTGCCTCTGGAAGTCAATAAATTCCAAATACAATCACGATGTGATTGTTTCCTCTTTTTTTTTTCCCATAAATTCTGTTAAGTTGTGTTTGATCATGTTCATAGTGCTTGCTTCTAAACTCTTTATTTGCAGTCTGGACCTGATGAGAGGAGTATTCCTGGAAATACCATCGCTGTTGATGCTGACATGCCTTTTAGTGGCTTGACAACATTTGGAGGTTCATTTTTATCGAAGTTCCAATGTTCTCAAATGCCACATCCTGTGAGTTTTATTTATTTATATTTCAAAGTCCAATGACACTGGCTTTATTTGTGCTTAAACTTGAAGCAATTTTTTTTTCTTTCAGCTGTTAGATGAAATAACATTTGTGGACACTCCTGGTGTCCTATCCGGAGAGAAACAAAGGACTCAACGAAGCTATGACTTCACTGGTGTTGTATCTTGGTTTGCTGCAAAATGTGATCTCATTCTTCTCCTATTTGATCCTCATAAACTAGACATCAGTGATGAGTTTAAGCGTGTAATCACATCTTTACGTGGTAACGATGACAAGATACGTGTGGTTTTGAACAAGGCAGACCAAGTTGATACTCAACAAGTAAGACAATAGTAACCAAAGTTACCTTGTTTATTATATTCATAAACCAATTTTTGTCTGCTTATATGCCTAGTTGTAATTTTGTAGCTTATGAGAGTCTATGGAGCCTTGATGTGGTCACTGGGGAAGGTTTTAAACACTCCCGAAGTCGCACGTGTATACATTGGGTAGGTTTGTTATCCTTCACCTTTTGGTGGTATTCACATTGTTTCACTTTATGTAAGTCAGCTTCTCCAGTTAATTTGATATTCTTTAGTTGTAAGCATACGCTCCTTTGCTTGACTTTACAGTTCATTTAACGATAAGCCAATAGATGAAAGCTTGGTCAGTCCATTAGGACAGGATCTCTTTGAGAAGGAACAGAATAATCTGCTAGCAGATTTGGTAGATATTCCAAAGAAGGCATGTGATCGCCGGGTATGGTCATTAATTTCATATTTGTCTGACCTGGTGGTGAAAATTGAGTTAATTATATGTTATACATTATGTTTGCTCCTAAATATTAATATACTGTTTCAATTATTTTGTTGGCATTGGAATGGTGCAGATCAATGAATTTGTGAAGCGTGCTAGATCTGCTAAAATTCATGCATATATAATTAGCCACCTTAAGAAGGAGATGCCAGCAATAATGGGCAAAGCCAAGGCTCAACAAAGGCTTCTTGATAATCTTGAAGAAGAATTTGCAAAGGTATTTCCTTCTGCTTTGGTTGCTTGATTTTTCATATACTTACCGTTCATGTTTTTGCAAAACAGGTTCAAAGGGAGTATCATCTACCGGCCGGTGATTTTCCCAATGTTGAACACTTCAAAGAAGTTTTAAGTGGTTATAGCATCGACAAATTTGAGAAACTAAAGCCTAAAATGATTCAAGCCGTAGATGACATGCTTGGATATGAAATACCAGAGCTTTTGAAGAAATTCAGAAATCCTTACGATTAGAATAGAAAATGTATTTCCGTCGTCATGCATTTTTACAAGTGTGAGATGTAACTGTTTAAGTACATTATTAGTGGGTTGTGAATGGTTGTGAATGGCACCAACATATTCTGTTCGTTTCTTGATGGGCAGCGCACCTTAGGAAAATGGTGTTATATAGTGAAGGCACTAGCATGTCATATCAAACATTTTCAATGCTCTAGTAGTGGGAGGGATTGTGGCGCCGACAACTCCTCTTAGTTTTTATAATTTTATAAACTATTTTTTAATTTCTATAGCAAATGAACATGAGTAACTCAAAAATGTATACTTTATATGAAAGTTAAAATGGACTATTTTTAACTAGAAGTACTTGAGAAACAATTTTATAGCAGTATAGAAACTAACGGGTATCTAAATCTTCAGTGTTCCAGACACGAAAAAGTATTTAAATTCCAAATAACTTCTATAAAATTATGGTACCAAAGAAAAGTCATTTTCAAGGTGCCATTAGTCAAAATGTGCACGAAGGTCACGGTAAAATATGAAAAAGGGAAAAGATTAGTTAGTAGCCTGCTAGTCTTGTAGGCTGAAAATAGCTGGCATTTTCCAGTTATAGTAGCTGTCTGACGGTGGGAACTTTTTTAATTCTATTAATTTTTGTTGTCAAATGAGTTATGAGTTTATGTTTAGGTTAATTACCGGAAAAATCTGAGTATTGCGGGTAGAGTTTGGGTATTGTGTTGTTGGCATTGTATTATGTTAATTTATACCACATTTATTTATTTAACTTTTCACTCTTATCTTTATTTAAGTTTTTTTAAAAGAAAGTCAAAACCATTACGTTTATTCATATTTTTTTGTTTTAAAATCTTATTTAAATTTTTTAAATGAAAAAAATTAATTTAAATTTACTTTCTTTTTTGTATTGTGTGAAATATGAAATATAAAAAGCGACAAAGAATTTATTTTTACAAAAAAAATAATTCATAATTTGATGGAATAAACTAAATGATCTAGTATTTTCAAGATGTCCAATAAAGGAATATGGTATTTGATGAATTTATTATAAAAAATTAAACCTGACAACAATGATTCTTTGATCATTAAAATACTAAATGAAAATTTGACAATAAAATAAAAATAAAAAAAACAAACATGGAACAGTAAAGTCACTACTCACTGTACATTATGCTCGATTAGTGATTCGTGATAAGGGGAAAAAAATGGTGGAGGAGAGGTGGATTGAAAGGACATGACCTATTTCTCCATGTATAAACCAGCCATGTTGTGCTGACAACGTTAGTCTAGTGTTTCTCTTTTGTTGCCTAGCTAAGAATGGAGAGAACCAAAGTTAGCAAGAGATTTATAGGCAAGGTAGCCATTGTGACGGCTTCCACACAGGGAATCGGCTTTAGCATAGCAGAGAGGCTTGGTTTGGAGGGTGCTTCTGTTGTCATCTCTTCTCGCAAACAGGTTATTTAATGGCTACCCTTCAATTTTCTATTTTTCACCCTTTTCTTTTTCTTCATAATATGTGAAGCTTAACTCAAGGAACAAAAATAGGGATCCCCTCTTCATGTTTTAAGTTGAACTTTCTTATTGTTTGGTAATTTGATTTAGTTCGGTATCGTAGATTCATGTCATGTTGCCCCACCTTTGAAACTCCTGTATTTTTAAGAGTTAACTAGTTTTTTAATTGATCATGTCGTTTTTAAAAAGAGCATGTGAGCAACATAATAAATTTCTAACCATATTTAAGAGATAAAATTATTTACTAATCATATCACATTTTATTAGTACAACTTAAACATTTGATTGCTAAACTTTTTATTATTATTATTATTTGTTAAAATTGTTTAAAAATTATAAGATCATGTAATTCTCAATAAAGAGAGAATTCAAAAGATTGTGTCTATTTCTCTATTAAAAAACGGAGAGGAAAATGGTGATGATATTGATCGGTGACATAAGAGCATTTTGCTAGAAAAAAAGACTTATTTATATAATTTTAATGTATGTGTTTCTCTTTCTATCTCTTACCATAATCATTTGGCACTTTTGTATAGATATTTGTTCTTTAATGGTTTTTTTTTTGTTGTTGCGTAAATTACCGCAGCAAAATGTTGATAAGGCTGCTGACAAACTGAGAGCTAAAGGAATCGAACTATTGGCGGTTGTTTGTCACGTTTCAAATGCAGAACAAAGGAAGAATTTGATAGACGAAACTTTACTGGTGAGAGTTGAAACTTTCGTTAGAAAAACCACGAAATTTCTATTCGTTTAAGAGTTTTATGTTCTATAGAAGTCTCGTATCCATTTCATCCTGCAAGTCTTAGAGATTCAATCCTTGATTTTGTTCATTTATCAATCGGCTAAGGAAACGGTGTTTATTACTGCTGGCGCTATTGATCAGATGAATCGTATTTTCTAGTAGTCCAAATATCATTACCTCCATTTTGATTTGTTATCTGGTGGATAGGTTGAGAACTGAGCTGGGTTTTATATAAGTCACTCTCTTTGTAAAACAATATCAGCGACACATAATACTACACTTAATTTTGTCTTTTAAATATCTATTGATTTAGATTATAAGATAATTTTTAAATAGTTTTATATATTTTTTATTTTAAATATAAGCAACAAAACAATATAATTTTCACTAACTAAAAAAGTTAGCTTTTATTTTTTTATTATTAAAAAGTATCTTCTATTAAATAAGAATTTGACAAATATCGAATAAGTAAATGTTTTCTCTTAGTTTGGGTTTAAAAAGTTAGTTAATATCATTTAATTATTTTATTTAAAAAATAATCTAATTTTTTAAACTATCATTTGTTTAAACTTAATATTTTTGAAAATACAACTTCAATTCAATGAAAAGGTATTTTGGAAAGAATAGTATTAAATAGAATAACTTTAGTTGCTTTTTTGTTTATATTCAAAACAAAATGGAGTATTTTATGATGTATTTTATAATACTTGAAAGAAAATCATTGTAATTTATATTGATTCAAATTACATGATTCAACAATTGATTTATTTGTTTTGTTTTTTTTCACTAATTTTCATGAAAAACATGAAAAAGTCATACCGAAATTAAGGGAACCCAAACTATTCGATCAATGCATTCACTTTATTTGGCTATATTATTTTTTTTTTTAACTTTTCATTTTCCTAAAATAAAGACTTCACAAATTATGAACAAGACTTGTGAGTAAGTTATTTTATCTTATGATCAATATCATACACTTGAAGTAACTTTTTTATTGTCTCATTATCTTATAATTTAATACAAATTGTGATTCACGTTTCAAAAATTAACTTGGTGATTTGTATCGATTATTTGATAGTCTCGGGTGTTCTAAAGATATGATAACATTCTGGTTCGCTGGTGTCATGTGAGATTTTCACTGGACCTTTGCATAAATTTTGTATTTATCACTTTTTTTAGCAAAGAGGATTATCAAAATTTGTAAAATTCCATGGAGGGGCAAGAACACAATTTTTTCTGATGATATAAAGTCATGGAAAAATCAAACATAACTAAAATGATCAGTTCCCTGGTTTTACTGCAGAAGTATGGAAAGATAGACGTTGTTGTGTCCAATGCTGCCGTACATCCTTCTGCAGATCCCATTTTACAAACACAAGAATCGATCCTTGACAAACTGTGGGAAATAAATGTCAAATCCACTATACTTCTTCTCAAGGTAACTATAACATAGCCAAAGCCAAAACAAATACAATATATATCATATATGTTTCAGTTCAGCATATTCTCTTATTGTTTGTGCGGTGTGTTATCCACTTGATGGTTTATACAGGATGCAGCTCCTCACTTGAAGAAGGGTTCTTCTGTTGTTCTCATTTCCTCACTTGTTGCTTATAACCCTCCACCTACCATGGCTATGTATGGAGTCACCAAAACAGCTGTTCTTGGACTCACCAAAGTAAGTACTTGCCTTCCATTTGTTCCTTCAAAAACTCTAAACTATTTTTCACGTGCTACTTTTAGTTCTTGTGTAGGTTCTCGCCAGTGAAATGGCCCCCAATACTCGTGTGAATTGTGTTGTTCCTGGGATTGTGCCAACTCATTTTGTTGCACAATATACCTCTAATGATGCTACAGTGAGTATCTTTAGTCCCAAATAGAGTTTTCAATAATGCTAAAAATCACAAATTTTAATAAATCTTATCATTAAATTAGAGGAGAACTCATTAAATGAGATGTTAGATTCATTAAAATTTATAATTTTTAATAAAATTTAGTTAATAGTAAAAGTAGTGTTAAAGAGAGTGTAGCTGGTATTTCTCGTGGAATTTTAATTTTAAGTACGTTTTCTCAAGTGTGTTTGTGACATAAATTACCAACAGTAATTTGAATGGTTGTGAGTGGTACTGCAGAGGGAGGAGCTTGAAAGGAAGGCATTGATTGGGAGGCTAGGTAAAACAGAAGAAATGGCTGCTGCGACAGCGTTTTTGGCGTCTGATGATGCTTCTTACATAACAGGAGAAAATCTAGTGGTTTCTGGGGGAATGCCTTCCAGGTTGTAGCTTCCAATTGTTTCTTCTTCTAGTGGTGTACTGGTGGGCCGAGCCCAAGACCTATTGTTTCTTCATTCATCCAATGCCATTGAATATTTTGCACCCATTGAGAAAATAAATGTTCATTTATATAAAAACAAAAAGAAAATAACTATTAACTATTCTGTATCAAGGCTGAGTTTCTTTTTTTAATCAACTAAATATATTTGAGTTCACCAAATGGGTTAATCATAGACACCAAATACCGAATCGCATTAAATTTATAATTCCATTGTTTTTTCTATGATGTGACGTACTTTGTATTGTACTTTTGTCTTCAATTCTGCAATTTTTTTCCACAAAAACTTGCAATTTCCCGTCTCACACATCTCAGCCATAAATCCCTCAGCAATACAAAATGCTCGATCAACATGAACATTTGATAAATGATAGCATAAACAAAAGAAACAATAATGTAAAGCGTATTTCAACTTGATTTTAGCCAACATTTATACAGCAGTGTCGTTTTAACATGGTTGGTTTTCGATTTTTACAACTAGTAACATAGGAGGGACACAACATATGAACTTAAGAATACAAGTTAACCCAAACTTGACAAATAATACTTAGCTACAACGCTACTTTCCGGCTAGAATTAACTCAAACATAAGAAAACAACTACTTTGAACCCCTTCGGGCACCTCTAACTATGTACATGAAATAGCATAATAAATAGAACAATTCAACTTCGTGGATGATGGATACATTGATATGACATTCTCAAAGTGCTTGTGGTTGGCCTTGTGAATCCTTGCGTCATATTACTCAAATCATATTTTGATTATCATGACAATCTTAGTAGTCTGCTTAGGAGCATCTTCTTCCAAGTCATTTTACACAAAAACCTGCAAGTGGAAAATACTCTGATTCCATAGTGGAAATCATATTCTGATTATCATGACAATCTTAGTAGGATCTCCCACCAGTTTTGTCACTTCAGAATTGTGACACTGATTTCGAGCAAAAGAAAACAACACTAAACGGGAATGACATCGGCATTTTGATTATCATCACATGTCAAGATTAGGCCTTCGGCATAGGTTGGCAAAAGGCAGCGGATCCACTGGCAGCCAGTTGAGACAGGCTCTGCCGAGGGAACAATCATGAGCACGTTATCATGTCGTTGGACAACTCCCATCACGCTTACGGTGCTACCTTCTTTGATGTACCTGTGCATTTCCCAAATTTACTTTCTAAGTACCAAATCACAGTTGAGAAGGTAATTGTTAAGAGAAAATAACCATTTAGGATGATGAATAGTTAGCCGGGGAATAATGCAGTCCATACCCTTCCTTAAGGCGCATTATCCGGTCGTCGCTAGAGAGTTTGCGGTCTGCAAGCCAGCCTAAGAAATTTGGAGACAACTCTCTGTTATCCTTTGTTACATCAACTACAGTAGTTGGTTCCACAAAAGGAGCAACCTTGGCACCATAACCTGCTTTCACTAATGCTCTTAATCCGGACTGGAAGTCTGATATGTAGAAGTCTGCTACGTATTTCTGTCCATAAAAAATAATGAAAATGTTGCCGTTATGTAGAGTAAGAGAGAGACAGCGGTTTCTTGCACTAGACAGGTTGCTGATACTGTGGTCCATAGAAGACACCAGATTGCAAGATTCAATAAGTTTACTGATTCTGATTTTACAGGACGCATGCAGAGAATGGTAACATTGACTCTAAAATCACCATTACAGTCAAAGTGGTTAAGTGGACATTATAATTCAGTCAGGTGTGTGAACCAGACATGAAAATGGATATGCATGCACTAAATGAACAGAACTAAGATATTTATGCAAGTATTTTCTTACGCAGGCTAACAATAATTGCCATTTCCAGTTTCATTGAACTTTGGTATCTTAAATTCATATGACTGCATAGAAATAACTTTTTGTTTATGTCTCTGCACAAGCAAAGTAAAACACATTTTAGATATACCAAGCAAGTGGAGACAGTTGAAGTCACAGAAAAGACTCATTCTAAATCTAATAATATCATATTAACCCTTTAGCATATTTATTATCGAGCAAATTGCAGGGACCTGCAGTTATATTGTTAAACCAACAGATTATATATAACTGGCACATGGCTATAAGCTAAAGAATACAAAACAATAAGCAACCTTGCCAATAGTACTCCACACCCAATTCTAAGTGGGCATCACACACTGACCTGAGTTCTAAGGTCTCTTCAATTTAAAGTTACTTAACAATTCTTCAAGCATCTAGTCATTGTATATTTTACATATCAATCAAGTAAATGTAGTCTGTGTATGCAAGTGATTTCTCATTTTTTACCAAATTATGCTCAATCCCGAGTGATTATTATACACAAAGCATAAACGAAAAGTTGAACAAACTAACCTCAGTGTATCTAGAACCCCAAGAAAAGCAACGGTGTTTAGGATTTGCTGATTTTCCACCCAATCCTTTATATTCATATAATTCTGCAGAGACATATACACATCTAGGTACTCTTTGGTAGGACGACTCCAAAGGAATACTGCCACAGGTTACAACCTACAGGAAGAAACAGGATACATGTAAAAATATATTATAGAAACCATGCCAAAATATTTTCCTTCAGTCAAGGCTAGTAAAATCCATACTTTCACTTGACTTACTCCATACTACATCAATAATCGCAACTCTCACACAAGACTGTAAATGTAAAAGCTTGAAGACTTCAGTAGAGAACAAAATTTTAGGAATACAAGCAAGCCTGACTGGGACAGAAGCCAAGTTCTGTAGTGGACATTATCATTCATCCACAGAAAAATCCTATTTGAGTGCTCATGTGAAGAAATTAACTAACAATTATGAGTAAGCAGTGAACCTGTTCACCGATTATGATTAAAAATAACTAAGAATATAAGTATATAACAACTTGACAACTGACAAGTATGATATCGCCATATCTAGCAGATTTTTTTTCAAAGCAGGTGAGAAGAGATAATAAAGAAAGGGAAGCGCAGGTGAAGCAAAAATTACTACTTTAATGTTATTGCCACACAAATTGGGTGGCAACAAAGAAGTAGAACTTCCCAAAATACCACAAATCAGTAGAATCCAAGAAGTTAATAACTTAATGTTAAATTATTTCTGTCAAGAAATTTGATCACACAGCATCCATTTCTGTAAAAAAGCCAAATATCCAACCCTTCTTCCGTAATCTACCACAGAAATGCACGTTAAAAATCATCATCCCCGACCACCATCTCCGCAGAATTCACGCAGTCATCTACTCTTTACTAAAGTTTCCGAGTTAAAAGAAATTGATTCCACAACATGCAAGTTAACTCCTCTCTTTCAAGCCACGTTTCAGACAAAGCATATGCATATGCATCCATACATCCACATTAGAACAAAGCTACTAGCTTATAAAGTCGAGAGCAGAAAAAAACTGAACATATAGGACAACTCCAAAAGAAGCAGTCTCAATCACCACGACCGAATTCACTCGTTACATAAGCATCAAACTCACACCAAAACCCCATACCTAACCACATTATTAAGACAAACAAAAGAAAAATCCACTCATCTAGCGGGAGGGTATTACAAACCATCAATAAAAAAATTAAATGATTTCCCATCTAGAAGAACCATCGTGATCATGAGACATCATTAAAGAGTGATTATTATTATAAATTTATTATAATAGAAAAGAAAATTACCCCGGTAACCTTAACGTACTGTCCATCAATGGCGCCTCTAAGCTCAGCATCAGGGTACCTCTTCACAAACCCTAAAAGCCCTCGTCTTCCCCAAAGGCAGTTCCACGCAATCAGAACCACTACCGGCACAATAACCGCCCCAAGCGCCACCAAGATCACAGCTTTCTTCACCGCCACCATGAGAAACACCCCAACGAGCAAACTCATTGCCACCACCACCATGAAAATCCACACCACCGCCCTCGAAACCCTGAACCCCACCTTCACCTCCTCGTTCAAGCTCGTCACCGCCGACCCATACACCGCCTTCCCCGCCGAGGCCGCCGCCGCCGCCGGC